TAGCCATATCCAATGCAGACTGAATTCTCAGCCCTCTCCAGATATATAGATATAGATATATATATATAAAAATATATATATTCCAGTCACATTCCAAATTTAAAAATAGCAGCAATATGTTTTTGCAGTAAAATACACCCCAAATTCCTAAAAAGTGGGCCAGTAAGGACTTTAGTACTGTCTTCTCTCTGGTGCCATTTTCAAATTACAACCTTTGTAGTCTTCAGTAAATGAACACATTGTATAAATGCTGTGTGTGTTCAGTGCTCATGAAACAAGTTGTGTAAATGTTCTCTTCTTCCCCATTTTTAAGGGGTTTTGTTTGCTGTACAGGTACATTCAGTCAGAGGCTGTAACAGGATGATGTGGGGAGTTTTTCCCAACCTGTCACCTGCAGCAGTTATCATTTTAGGTGACTTCCCCCAGTCTGTAAAATTAGTATGAAGAGTTGATTCCCTCTCTTGTCACTGCCTGGTAGTGCAGAACCAGGGGTTAAAGGGACCCCAGCAGGCCAGGCTGGGCAGGGCATTGTTTGTCATAGACAGCAAAGCACATAAACAGTGGAGCAGGATAAAGGTTTTCTCTAAGGAAGTAAAAACAAACCCAATCCCAAACTAAAAATCACAACCGTTCCTCTCAGGACAGCAGAGCTGTTCCTAGAAACACGTTTGTGGTTTTCCTGCCACACTTACCCAGCCAAATTTCATCCACTTCTGTAATTCAGCTTTCCACTCTCTTTGCTGCATTTCAAGGGGGCCGAGGAGACAGCGGGACCCTGCGCTCAGCTAAAAGTGAGGAGTCCCTGACCTCTCTGCACGCTGTGGATGGTAAGAGAAACTGTGCTTGTGCTGTGAACAGGTGGGGCTTCAGAAGGGCAGTTTGACATTAGTGACTGGCAGATCTTCCACCCCTCCTGTAAAAGCTGGAGTTGCTGATTTCCTGGAGGAGCTTACTGCTGCCCAGCACAGATGGGCATCACAGAGAAATGCTCTTCATGTCTTTGTTTTCCTTCTCGGGTAAATTAATCAAATTTCTTGCTTTTGCATAGCCAGCACTACTTATGGCTACTCCTTGCCAGCTCCCCATTCTATGCTGAGCCAGAAAAGATGCCGTGGGGAAGGAACATGCTTTCTGAGACAGCCTTAGGTCTAGTGCACACTTACACTAGTTTTGCTTCTGCACACAGTTTAGTTTCAGACTAAATCAGACATCTCAACTGCTGTAAAGGAGTTTCAGCAAACATAATAAACATTTCCTGCTTACTGCAGGAATTCTGTGTTTAAAGTTCAGCA